TGTGTGTGTGTGTGTGTGTGTGCATACGAGGGCAAGTCAATAAGTTTTTAGAAAAACATAATAAATAAACACATTTTTTTTGATCGATTTAATTTTATTTCTCAATATAGTCTCCTTTCAGCTCGATACACTTGATCCAACGATTTTCCAACTTTTTCAAGCCATCCAAATAATATGATTTGTCCAACCGTTCAAAATAAGTCTCTGTTTCGGCGATGAGCTGCTCTCTGGTGGTGAATCTCTTTCCTCCGAACTATTTCTTCAGGTTTGAAAACAGGAAATAGTTGCAGGAGACTAAATCTGGCGAATATACTGGATGGGGAAGCAATTCGTAGCGGAATTCGTTGAATTTGGTCATCGGTGCCGGGCATGTGTGAACTCGTACATTGTCTTGATGGAAGAGTACTTTCTTCTTCGCCAAATAAGGACGTTTTTTCTTTAAAATGTTGTTGAAACGGTCTAATAAGGCTGCCAGTAATCGCCATTGATCGTGCGACGGATTTGCTTCGACGGAAGGTAATCAATATGAATTATACCGCGTGCATCCCAAAAAACTGTGATCATCATCTTTCCGGCCGACTTCACAGTCTTCGCCTTCTTCGGAGCTGGTTCACCCGGTGAAGTCCATTGTTTTGACTGTTCCTTCGTCTCGAGTGTGAAGTAATGGATCCATGTTTCCACAGTAATGAATCAACGCAGAAATTCATCTGGATTACGTTGAAACATCTCCAAACATTGTTTTGAAATCGTCACACGGTCGCGCTTATGGTCCACAGTGAGCAAACGCGGCACCCATCTTGCCGATAGCTTTTTCATACCCAATTGTTCGTGCAAAATTAAAATCACTGTGCCATGTAATATGCCGGTGGCCTCAACAAGCTCGCGCATTTTCACTCGTCGATCAGTCAAAACAATATCGTGGATTTTATCGATGATTTCTGGCGTAGCAGCCTCAATTGGACGTCCCGAACGAGAGACACATGCATCACATGTGGATGGACGACCACGTTTAAATTCATTCACCCAATAGCATACAGTCGCAAATACTGGTGCAGGTGTGCTATGAACATTATCCAACTCGGCTTTGATTTCTTTCGGCGTTAAACCTTTCATATGTAGATATTTGACTGCATGAAACTCGTTTTTTTCCATTTTGTAAAAAATACAAAGATTGTTTGCTTTAATCGTTTACAAAAGGTTAACTACGCGATGAATTCCGCTCAAAATTTGACAGTAATCAACTGAAAGGCTACTTGTCAAAAAGTAATATGACATGACACTGCGAATGCCCTCTGACAGATTTTCTAAGAACTTATTGATTTGCCCTCGTATGTGTATATATGTATGTATGTATGTACTCGTATGTATTGTATGTATATACATATTCTAAAATATAAACTAGTAAAATTAATAATGTTCATCTGTCTCCAACTATTTTCTTGAATCAATATTATATTGAAACATTGCCTCAGTAATTATAATTTATGATTACAACCAATATACAACAAAACAATTACTAATGAAATATTATATCTGTGTCAATAACAATATGGGTTATCATTTATTTAATTTCTAAAATCGAAAAATAAAATATCTATCGTTCATAATTATAAGCGGTAGTGTACTTAGACCATTGGTAAGGAATATCAACTCATTAGCAGTACAACAATACAAGAATGTTCTGCCTTATATATACAGGGTGTCTCGTAAGATGGGTCGGGGCCACAGAATGGATCAAAGGGAATAAAAAATTCTTATACCATTTTGAGATATTTGCTATAGTTTTCGAATTAGAAAAGAAAACGTCTAAGCCAATATACGGTTAAGCAGCGCCGCGCGAATTCGTAAGACGGCCCACACTCGAGCGGCAGCGCCGGCGGTGCGCAGAGGGGAAAGAAGCGAAACACATAGGACCATCATGCCAGGCTGTGCCAGGCAACGAGCGCTTCTTTCCTCCCTGCTCACCGCCGCTACTGCCGCTCGAATGTGGGCCGTCCTACAAATTCGCGCGGCGCTGCTTAACCGTATATTGGCTTAGACGTTTCCTTTTCTACTTCGAAAACTATAGCAAATATCGCAAAACGGTATAAGAATTTTTTGTTTCCTTTGATCCATTCTCTGCCCCCAATGTGGCCCCGACCCATCTTACGAGACACCCTGTATA